TTTGGATATTTTTTAGATGAACAGATATGCATCGCAGTATATTTCTTCGAATCAAGATAAGAGCTAAAAAATGGTTCGATACACATAGTAATGAAATTAGGACCCTTATCGGATTGCTAATATTACAGAGCATCTGTCCGAAGCCTGAGTACAAAATGTACTTTTCACGACGAGAGAGCATCGAGACTCCTTTTTTCTCTAAAGTTATTGGTGAGAGACGATTTCATTTGTTGCTAAAGTTTTACACTTTGTAGATAATTCTACTATAAATCCACATACAAAAAGCCGAAAGTTGATCAAAGTTTTATCAGTTATCGATTTGTTGAAAAAAAGTACCTATATGTCAGCTTATGTACCAGAACAAAGCATAGCCATAGATGAGTCCTTGATAGGATGGAAAGGCAGGCTTGCTTGGAAACAGTACATACCCTCGATTTGATAGGAAAGTTTTTGCCTTATGTGAAAGCCGAGTGGTTAAATGTACAATTTTTTAGTCTATACTGGCGCAGATACTGAACGCAATGCTTTGTATATAAATGAACCACTTACTTCGGGGGTAGTGTTGACATTGATTCATCCTCTTTTAGATCAGGGATACCGCCTGTTTTTAGATAATAATAATAATAATAATAATAATAAATGGGCTTTATTTCGTACCTAAGTAAAAGTACAAAAAAGGCAAAGTGTCGCTAAGATTAGCCTTTTTCAACTTAACCTTTGAAAGAACAAAAAAATATATATATAATAAAACATTCTACCAATAAAAATGTATCCATAATTCTCAATAATTACTAAATAATCAACAACACAAAGAAAACAGAACAATTACAAGAATAGTCCTTATTTCTAGCATTTTGTATTCATCATCAGACCCCGACTTGTAATTTTAGTTTAAGCCTCTTTTTAAAATTAAATAATGTATAGTTTTGGAATGTAACAGGCAGATCATTGTATAATTTAATAGCGTTGTAGCTGAATGATTTTTTGTAGACACCTTAGAATGTGAGGGTATCACTAACATATTTCTATTATCTGTATTTGGTTGATTTATATCACTACATCGTGTTAACTTATTATGCAAATATTGTGGTTGTTTGGTAGCTAAGACCTTATGTGTGAGTGTCAATAAGTGAAGTGTTTACAGGCCTTTAATCTGCAGAATACCAAGTTCCTTAAATTTATAAGAAATATGATCGAACTTTTGTATTCCGCAAGAAAATCTGATGCACGAATTCTGAATACGCTGTAATTTGCTTTGTTCGATAATTAGATAATTATTATATAAGCATAGACCTGTGCGACAAACTAGTAAAAAGAAGGACAGAATGCGTTGGGACAATGACAATAAATGGAAAAGGAATACCACGGGAATTAAAAGTAAAATTATAGAGAGGAGAAACTGTAGCACGTTCTAGAAGAAGACTCATGATTCAGAAATGAGGCGACAGGAAAGACGTCCTTATGATAAGCACAGTCCACGATGACAGCATGAAAAAAGTTGCAGCATGGGTAGTGTTGATTTATCTGACAATTACACTTTTATGGAATTGCTCGTACTAGAGTTAAAAAATACTACATGTAGATGTTTCCCCATTTTTTAAGTGTCACTACGTTGAATGCCTTTCAAATTTATAAGAAGAATGGCGGAAAACTAAAAAGACTGAACTTTTTACTGGGGTTGGGTGAGAAGATATTGGAAAAATACAGCAAACCCTTACAAATAAAAAAAGAGAAGGTCTAGAGCGCCAATGCCCACAAGACTGACTGAAAGGCATTTTCCATCGATAATACCACCAACAGCAAAAGCAAAACCGACAAAAAGGTAAGTCAAAAACTTATCACTCTATTTGTCTTATTGCGTTTTCATTTACTTCAGATGCGTTGTACTATATGTGCTGAAAGAAAGAAGCGAAAAGAGAGTCGTTATTGATGCCTAGAGTGTCGTACTGATGGTCTCTGTCCTGCACCTTGTTTTGGGATATACCACACGAAAGAATAATATTTTCTACTATTTATCGGCTGTATTTTGTTTTTAAATAAATAAGTTTCAAGTACTGTGATGTGCATTACTTGTTTAAAAGCAGTACTAACCATGGTGGCTTTCCCGTATATGTACGCACTTCATTTAAAGTAACCCAATTCACGTGACTTTGACGAATATGTACGCCTGCGCTTCTATTATCAGTGGCAAAGACGAATATGTACGCAAGCGGTAAAATGACGTGCCACCTGAAAAGTTATCGCTGAAAGCAGCTACAGCCACTTAAGGGCGTTAACAAATCGAAACCATCAATATATTAGGTGACGTGAAGTAAAGTGAGAAACTTGCCAAAAAAAAGGAAATCAACTATTGATCAATGGAATAACAGTTAACCGATGTCAATGATGATTTCAATGATGATTTCAATTATGACAGACAACAGGGGTGACGTAGTCATACCTGCTGGTCCGTTTTCGTGTAAAAGAGCATATTCTTCTTTTACTTTTAATTTTACTTACCTGGACTTGGAAAATACTGCTCGGATTTTAATTAATTGGGGCTGCAGATCGCAAGGGGTGGGGAAGGACATAACTCAATTTTTTATGTTAGTAACCGATGGGAGGCAGACATAGCGATGTTGCCAGGTAGTGCTGTCGGTAGGGCAGGGAAGACATTTCTAGATCACGTTGTTACAAGGGTGGGGACTACAGACTCATTGTATGGACCTGTTTAACTGACTTGATTCATTGAATTATTTGCTCTACATGTTTCTAGCTAGCTTGTTTCTCAGAAGGGCTAAATTGAACTGAATAATCCCTTATGAACTGATATCAGCGTTGCGTGGGAAGTATAGAGTCAACCTACTTAACGCCATTTTTACATATACATAAAGCCCTTAGAAATGGAAGCAAAAACAATCTAATAGCGTATTCTTGTTGTTGATATCGTTTCGGTAGACGTTTCAAAACTTAACCGCCATCAGCTCTCGTGTGAATCGGAAGAGCATAAATCTCTACATACACACCACAGCATATCGTACGTGGTTTCAGTGTCTATTTTTACATTTTAGTTGCATTGCATGTCTTGGAACACGAAACTTCAACTGCAACTGACATCACAATCTATTGTTTTCATTCGTAAACAGGAAGATTGATGGAGAGTTTAACTGAAAAAATGGGAGCCGTACATACTGTTCAAAGCTCAAAATAGCTCTGTTATAAATCAATGATCCTTGTTCCAGGTGGAGACGGAAACTGGATTTAAAGATAAACAGAAAAATTAGGTGATCGATGGTGATGTAAGCTTGTATAATCCAAGAGCTTGGAACGTAACCTTTTCCTGTTTCGAGATAACTTAAATATCACAATAATAATTATTTATGTATCTAGAGTGTTAAGCGAGCGGTTATATTTCGCGGTGGGAATTAGAGGGTGAAGCGAACACTTTTATCTACGACCGGGCGGTAAAGTGTATTTTATGAATAGGTTTTCCGGGCGTTAAGTTTCACTTTTCAATCCATAAACTCCTTTATGTCTAGGGCTATAAGGTCGCTTCAGCAACCGGTACCTTTAAATTAGTCTATGTTAAGCACAGTGGCGTAGCTATCTTGGGTGGCGCCCGGTGCGGAAGTTGGTGGTGTCACCCTATCGAAAGTCAAAAGCAATACATTTTATATGATTTATAAACGTCATGGAGCATTTAATATTAATATTTAAAGTACTGAACAAAGAACAAAGCACAATAAAAACTAAGACAGAAGAAATGTTTTTGTCTTACAATTAAAATCTCTTCTTTCTAGCTTTGACAGCTTCAAACTCGGAAACAACTTCATCAAAATTTATATTTTTAATTGCCTCGTGTTCGATTGCTAAGCCGCGATTGGGTCATTGTTGCCCGCAAATAGTTTTTTATTAATTTCAGTTTACTGGAACTCCTTTCACATGAAACTACGGACACACAAACTGTCATGAACGATTTTAGTGAAATCATAAGATATTATGTAAGAACCCGTTCTACAATAAACCCGAATTATACATAGAGCTCAGCTAGTGCTTATGGAAGAATCAACGAAGAAGACAGCTGTGTTAGTCATTCAATTTTTTTCTGTTTGTACATTAATCTAATAGTTTACTCACCGGATGGGTGTCACCCCACAAAAAGGTGACACCCGGTGCGGACCGCCTCCGCCGCCCCCCTTGCTACGCCACTGCTTGAGCAAAGTGGAGGACACGGAAACTAGCTTTATTTTTCCGTTGCTAGACTATGGGGCAACTACCGGTGATACAATTGTACGGGCAATTTTTTATTTTTAATTCTGCTTAAAAAACTGCTAAAAGCTAAGTTTTTTATCTTAGAAATCATTTTGTGCGATTCCCGGGCGTAACGGGCATGTCGCTTCGCTCTTTGGGCTTTAATTTCACGCCCTAGAGACATAAGTAACTATTATAGTATCTGAACTTGATGAAACTGCTTCAGGAAATCAAAATACTAAAATGTAATACATTAATATATGTGTCTCAACATATTCTTTTTTCCTATTTGTTTCAGATCCCATACATGGAATGGAAACATTTGATATAACGCGAGTCTTTTTTGAATGAATGGTAGTGGGTGCAACATTTCTCACAGAAAAATAGTCGGCCAGTTAGAAATGAGTATAGAAATAAGATGCTCAAATGTTTCGAGAATGATAATTCTCCATGTTTGTCCACATATGTTACAAATACTGTTTATAAATGACGACATTCCGGCCACAACAGTGTCATTTTTCAACTACAATTTGACAATTCTGTCAATATCTTTTGTTTATCAGCCTTCCAGGTGACACTTCGTTTGTTTTTTTTTTTTTCATTTTCACATCTCTAATTTGGCAATGGTTTATTCATTAACAGTCGAATATGTGCGTGTGGAGCGTGAGACTACAGGTTGTTTGAGATGCAATAACATATTATTGGAAGTTAATATTTGATTGAAAATAACGAACGCAATAGTTAATTTCTAAGTTGTTTTATGATTCAATAATCGGAGAAAGGATACTAGTAAGCATTAGCATACGTGTTTGCGAATTTCTGGGAACTATATAATTTCTTTCTTGGTACTACAGCCATGTACCATTGTATCTGTCGCTGGGATACGAGTAAAATCTACTCGGATGACAAATATTAGCGAAGATGGTTTCACTGTCCCGTTAATATATACGATATAAAAGGTTTAAAAATAAATAAAAGGCTTCCCTACAAAACAAACACAAGTTTAATAGAAATAATTATTATACATTTAGGTACATATTTACAGTGGAGTAGTACATAGTACAAACATGGCGAGCTTGCAACAGTTTCGCATTTGCTCAATATCGAAGTCTAATATTACAATATATACTCTATACATTATATAATATATAACGGTTACATAAAAGATAAATAAATCAACGTTGTATAAACATCATCAACTGTATTATGAGTATATTGGAAATTCATCGAATCCATTTTAAAATGAAATGGTAACAATATTCAAAGAGGAATATAAATCCTGCAACAAAAAAAGGATCCAATTATATGTGCTCAGGAAATAATTACTTCAATTAATAAATTCAAATACTTCATACAAAAGTGGCAAAATTCACCTACTTCACTATTTTCAGAGGGATCGTAGTGAATTTTCAATATTTCTCCAGCTAACAGATTCATTGTAAGGCCTTACAACAAATGATCAAGTAGTTTGAAGTACAGCCAAAGACAGGAAATGTTAACACAATTATAACATTTTATAGATTTAGATCAATTATTATGCTAAACCCTGTAATGACCACCATCCGTCTTTTTCTCAGAAATTAAAAATCTTATACAAGACGCTTACATCTTCATGAAACCATAGTCACTGATCAACCATTGGATGGAGAATAACATCTGCTTCCTCTAAAGTCACAACTTTTAACCGCAATCGATATTAACATGTCATTTCTGTCTATAGCGATACTGCATTATTTTTTCGCAAGAAACTAAATCTACCTAAAATTAAATGAGCACCTTTGGTTTGGTAAATCGAGCTGCATTGCTGAATGGCCAATTTTTTAAATAAAGTTACCAGGAAACAAACAAACCGTTTAAATGCGATTCCAAGATTTTGAATTACGAGTATTCTGATACCTAAGCCTGCCAAAGTACTGGAATAGAGTTAGCTTCATAATGTGGTAGGTATGTTCTGCTAAGTTGTTTGCCGCCCCTATTGATATGAGAAGAAACAAAAGCTGAATATTTATCACCGAAATGTAAAAAGAGAAAATAGTTTTTGACTGTTTGCCCCGTGATTATAAAAACCTGTATAGCATATTGTATATTAGTGAGTAAACTTTCAGCGTCTGATTCCCATGCTTTTTGCATGATTAGGGAGACACGATATATGCATAGATCGAAAAGTGAAATCGAACTCGATTGTTCATAAAATATATTCACATAGCTTTATTCAGTTTTCACCGTCGTAGAGTAAGAAGAATGCCTTCGATTTTCCGCAAAACAAGCATTGTTATCGCAGTGTGAAGCCAAATATCGGATCAAACTAATCGTCGCTTTACATGGTGGTTCAAAAACAATGGGAACATGTCTAGGGTAGGAAGTACGTTAAAAATAACAAAAAAAAAGTTCCTATGAAAATAAGTCTTTAAATGTCTCATTACCGAGATTCACAGTGTTGGGAATTTCTACGCCATCAATAAGACTGATAAATACTGCTCAAATAGCGCTGTACTCTGCTGTTGGTACTAATGAATCTGCTAAAACGTAAGACTGCATTCAAAACTATTTACAGCAAATACTGATGGTACGTACCTGTCTTGACATATAGTCATGTATTGATAGTATCGTTTCGTTTTTGTGCGTCGAAACTTTTCTATGAATCCATAGCCTACTAGAAACTGCATAAAACTACTTTGTGTCTACAGATCAAACGTCGACAGATTCGTCGCAGTTGTGTCTCACTTGTTGATTTGGGGTTTTTTGAATGACACTATAAGAGATAATAAAGTATTAGTTATTGAAAGGTTTTGACGTCATAAGTCGAGTACGAAAAAGTCACTTTCCGCAAGAGTTAGAAACATTTCTTCTTCCAGCGCGTAACAAGAACAACAAAAGTGAATTGTAACATCATATATCAAAATCAAACAGCGTCCAGAATTTGTCAGCTCCTATATAATGCAAGAAAACCGATAAAATGTCAAATTGTTGACTGGGTAGGCTAGTATGCAAATAGTTCATTCCGCACTTGCTACAAGTGAGCATGAAGCTTCCGACAGCTAGTTTCAAGTTGACGTCTTGTAGGAAAACCTACATAATATCATAAAAACCTACATATTGTAAAAAACGACATAATGTCACTTTTCAAGTTACGTAATACCCCTGCCGGTAACCTTTTGAGGTGCGGCCAAGTTACTTTCGAATCTGAAATGCAGGCGGAAAAGTGGCACTTTCAGCACGCTGGAAGAAAAAATGAATTAATGAGCTGGGGTTACTCTCGTAATCCTTGATATACTCTATACAACCCTCAATCTCAAGTTTCACCTCAACCATTTCCAATTCTTTCTCAGAAGAAATCGCCTGACCAAAAGTTCTCAAGGAATATAATTAATGGAAGACTACCTTATTTAAAAATTCACTAGAGGTTTCAAAAAAGTCATTGGCGTAAGAGGTATTTTTCTAATGTAACTCCTGAAACGTATCTTGTAGTCTTTCATGTTCATAGGATTCCATTGCCAGGCCGAAACAGACAATTAATTGTGATTGAACTTGAAAAACTCCACCGTCGTACAATAACCAGAAATTACAACATACATGTGCTTTGATTCAGGCACACAATAGAGTATTTAGTAATTTATTGTTTTTCTTCTGCAAAATATCGCTGTTTCTACCTAGCTCTTATAATTTGAGCAACATTTTTTGTCTATATTAATAACGGTGTTAGCGTATGTACACAAGTTCAAGTCAATACCACCATCCACTCCGTAGATATATTTTTTCTCGATATTGTTATAACTTCAACACCCTGTATCTCAGAAACTCGACATTTTAGGACTTATGTCTGTCCAAACTTCAGTTTTTATTTTTGGACATACTCTCTACTCTAAGGATATTGTCACTTTTTTAATCACCCAGTAGATGACTGAATCATCAAAGCAGGTTAGGTAATGAGTTTAGACGCAGAAAGTAGATCCATTCAGTAATACAGATCCGGGCCTATCTAAATTGCACATCTTCGTCATGGTTAATAATGCGGCAAATGTTCCTTCTACAATTTGTTATTGTTTTAACGAGGGCAAGCCTACATTCACTCCATTACAACCACATTCTTGGATTCCTTAATATTTACATAGCATTGTAATACATAGATATATGCGGGATTTATTACGCAATCTAGAATAAAGCGATCCCTAAGCCTCCTTGGATTTTCTTATATGATTCACTCATTCTAGCAACATATGACAGAAATACAACAGTCAAATTCATATAAGCAGAAACATTTTAGTTTAGTTTACGCCAATGATTAGTTTCTTCAAGATTTTATCTAAGAAATTAAAATATATTTTAGATTCAACAATCACTTTTCACGAATAAACTTTCAAAAGGATGATTTTCCCATAACACGACATCCGAAGTTAAGCCTTGTAAACATGGTATTTTAGAATCGTTTATTCTGAGTCCAACTTATCCATTGAGTAGATAGAAACAAATTTTCTGAAATTATTGGAAAATATGGATATGTATTAATCTAAAGGTTTTCCTTAGAAAACCTGAGCAAAAATATACCTACATTAGATATCCGACGCTCTGCATATATTTTTTTTCTTATTAGCATACCTATGTTATATCAAGTACTGCTACATAATATAGAATTGCTTGCAACAACCTATGCAAGCCAAGATCAAAAGTGTAAAGCCAGAATATATAATTTATTATATTTATACATTTTTTTATATATTCCCATTATAAAATTGATAAGATTATATCAAGAATCACCATTTGGCTATAGGTATTCACGTTTAACTTTTTGCAAAAATATCACAACTTTAGAACGATTATATATATAAGCAAAAAGATAAAATTCCGATGTTATGAGTTAATAATTTTGTCACGGTGGGTGAGAACAGTAAAAATATTTACACGTAATGATTTATCTTTTTATCACCATATAAATAATGTCACAGGTTTACAAGCAAATTTAGTCATTACACAATGACAAATCACGTGAACGTCTACTATTTTCAGTTTGGTGAAACAAGTAAGACATTTTTACTACTTTCCCGTTTCACAAAAAAATCGAAAAATGTGTTAACGCTTCTATTTTGTGTACTAACTTCAGCGTCAGCTAGAATCTATTCAAACTGAAATAAATCTTCACAAAATGCAGATTTGAATGAAATTTTATCAGCCACCAAAACTGTTCGAAGAGAGGCGAGAGGGGGAGGAACGAATTGCCGACGCTCATGAAGCCTTATAGAACAAATTAAAATCTACTCAAGTGAGGCCTTGATTGACCAGGCTGGTTCTATTTCCAAATCAACTCTCCGTTTTTTGGACTCAAAGTCCCGTTATTTTCGTTTCACTGACAACAGCTGTCAAAATATTTAGTCAAAAGGCCACTGATAGTGGCAGTAACCTTGATAAATATCATTAAATACTATTTACCATTATGTACAAAAGTCTATGACTAGAAAATCTAGTTTTAGGCAAGTGAGATACACCTATATCAAAACGGCTATAAATACGCGACTCAAAAAGCAGTCAGCTAGCTGTATAACAGTTAAAATATATTTTTTTAAAGCTAAACAATTTACTATTCAGATAAAAAAGATGTGAGGGAATTCGTACAACAACCATAAAACTATGTTAATGATTTTACATATCTGTATGTCTAGACTTTAAACTACCAGTCCGTAATATAAGAACAATGACAGACAGGTCATATTTTTATGAACACATTCATCATCATTAAAAAAAATTACGATATGAGATATGACGTACACTGATGGACTGAAAATGTATTTAAAATGAACTAATACTACATTGATAATATCACAATGATCTTGACTAAGATTCTCAGAGTAGTTGTGGTTTGTCAGCCATTCAATAATGTTAAGCTCAAATTTTAGGCGTAACATTTTTGTGGTATTAGCCGCATGATCGCAATGGAATTCTATTTTTTATTGCGTGTCCTATTTATAAGTCGTAAAAATTGTTTGTATTAACATGGTTAAACAAAATTATTCATCTTCGTTATATCAGGTTGTACGTTTATGTCGAAAGAAATCGAATAATTAGATGAATATAATTGGTTTGTTACAGAATCTAAAAAAACACATTTTTTTAAAGTTTTTCCGGTAAACAAAGCAAAAAATATAGAAATGTCGTGTATACTCAGGTTGATTGTAGAAGAAGGATGCCTAATATCGGGTAGGTTCCGAATATCGGGCAGCGGTTTATTAGACGAGCTACTACAGCCATCTACTGTTATAATGACCAACATGTAACAGGAACCACATTAAATGCAACCTGTAACGTTCATATGTTTTTGTGACCTTCATTCTTTCCACAAACACGGGAAGTGTGTGAATTCCGCCACGAATATTTTGAAAGTGTTAACTAAATTGGTGTTTTCATGAAAAGGTAGGTCTGTCCTTGTTTATTTTTATGTTCATATGTCTTCTGTAGGCTTGCAGCCATCCACTAAGGATTAGAAAAATGTCCCTTTCGATTTGCTTTTTAAGATATATTGTCGTAATATTTTGAGGTTATGTTTCCTAATATCGGGCATGTAAAGATGCCAAATATCGGGTACCCGATATAAGGAACACTTGATGTTGTGACGTAGATATTGTTTCCTTATATTGAAGTTATAATTATTAAGCATCTGTTTATTCACAGATGCCTCCAAAAAAAAGAAAGCAATGGAATGCAGAAGCGATGAAGAGGGCAGTAGAAGCAGTTAAGAACAAGGAAATGGGAACTCTCAAGGCGTGCCCAAAAGCACACTGATTGATTATGTAATAAGTAAGAAACCGGTTGATACATTACTTGCTATCAAATTAGGCAGAAAACCTATTTTAACAAATGAACTTGAAGAAGCACTAGTTGAGTATGCTCTCGAAATGGAAAGAAGGTATTTTGGTCTCCGAGCGTCAGATGTAAGAAGACTAGCCTTTCAGCTGGCGATACGTAATGGGCTTAAGCATCCTTTTTCTTGCCGAAGTGCCGCTGCTGGAAAAAAATAGTTGAAATCGTTCATGTCAAGACACCCAAAATTGTCTTTCCGAAAACCACAGGGAATTTCTGCAGCCCGTGTTAAGGGTTTTACAAAAGAGAATGTTCAAGCATTTTTCAACCTCCTTGGTAGCGTTTTGCCAAAAGTTGGCTTTAATCCAGCAGCAATCTATAATGTTGATGAGACTGGTATTACGACAGTACAACACAAACATGCCAAAGTGATAAGTTTGAAAGGAAAAAGGCAAGTTGCAGCTTTAACTGCTTCGGAACGGGGTGCTTTAGTAACTATTGTAACGTGTATGAACGCTGTCGGTCGTTACATACCACCAATGTTGGTGTTTCCCCGCAAAAATATGAAGCCTGAGATTCTAAATGGAGCTCCCCCTGGGTCGGTTGCCAGATGTCATCCATCGGGATGGATTGAGCAAGACATTTTTACAGACTGGCTGAGGCACTTTATTTTACATGTAAAACCTAGCGAATCCGAACAAGTTGTCTTGATATTAGATGGACACTATTCTCATTCAAGGAATATTGATGTTATCAACATTGCCAGAGATAATTTCGTCCATATTATCTGCCTACCTCCCCATTCTACAAATAAGTTACAACCACTCGATGTCTCCTTTATGTCACCTTTCAAAACTTATTATGCTGCTGAAATTGAAACATGGCTTAGAGCAAATCCAGGGAGAGTTGTAACTTCCTATCAAATATCGGAACTAATAGGAAGAGCCTATTTAAGAGCAGCGAGTTGTGAAATTGCAGTGAATGGTTTTAGAAAATGTGGAATATTTCCATTCCAACCGACAATTTTCCGAGATGACGAATTTGCCATCCATTCTTCAAATGAAAGACAATCAGTCGAAGGAGATAATGACGAAAATCAGATTGCTGTGGATCCTGCTGATGCTGAAAACTTAAGAAAAGAAAGAGAAACTACACCACCCATTTCGACAGCTAAGCTCGTTGTACCTCAGGATATTTGTCCTATACCTAGCCTAAAGACAAAACATCAGTCTCCAAGGCCACGTTGTTCGGGTGAAGCTTCTAAAAAAGGAGGTAAACGTGGTTCAACAGCTATCCTCACTTCTACGCCTTATAAGACAGATTTAGAAGAGAGCTTGAAAAAAAGAAAAAAGATCACACCGAAAAAAGTTAACCTGAATCAAAATAAATCAAAACTAAAAAACGAGAGGGAAAAAGTTAACAATAAAAAATCGATCCCAAAAGGAAAAAAAGGAAGAAAGAGGAAGATAAGCTCATCTAGCAGTTCTGATAGTGATGAAATTCAATTGGTAGACACGGATGACGACATGGACCAAGATGATGTCGATGTGGAATGCTTTTATTGTTCCAACTGGTTCTCTAAAGATATTTCTGGATCCAAGTGGGTCCAATGCATGAAGTGTCTGCGTTGGTGTCACGAAGATTGCTCAGATATAGGCAAGGAGAAATCATTTATTTGTGGAAATATTAACAAGATCAATATTATAAGGTGTTATAAGAGAGCCGTCGTTAAATCTTTGTGCAATTTTAAGTTGGATACCACTTTCTGCCCATGGTTAACCCTGGACCAATTGACCCAACACCACCTTCCAGTCACCACAGTGATTCAAGCAGTTTAGCACTCTTAATTGAGTTTAATATTTTATTGCTAATCATATTAGTATTGGTGCTCTGGTCTTATTTTAGACGCACAGGATTTCGGATAATACAAGACACTGAGGGGATTATACTTCTCTAAGGTTGATAGTTACTTAACCTTACTCGCAACGTTCCGTTTCGGGTTGCGCTAAGGCCCATAAAGAGTGTGTTTGGAAAGTCTCTATACCGTTTAGGGATACTAGTTTTACCCAAAGATGTCTTCAGTTATGGTCACCAGGTCACAACGTGGTCGCAGAGGTAGAGGCGCGCGTTCACGCGGTCTCAGATCCTTGCTCTCCGGAAGGGATTTTCTCCCTTCAGAAATGCCCCCTGTTATTAAAGCTACTCCATGGTTACCACTACTTACGCGTCATCGTGTAGTGTGTTCTACTTCCATTAGCTACATTTCAACTGCTGATATTGCTATAGCAATTAATTATCAGATCGGCATTTACTATTTACACTACTTCTAACTCGAAGGCTGTTACTGGACCCATTGAAATGAGGATTTTATCCTCATCATTGAGGCTCTTAGGAGATGGTGCTATATCTGTACACCCCCAAGTTTTGACAAAAGAAGCATCACAGGAACTTATTCGATTGGATTCTCAATCGATGAAGAACATGTTCGCACGTATTGGCTATGGATGGCCTATTAGTGAGCAGAACAAAGTTCTGAAGTCTGAAGATAGAATCCCAGTTCTTGGTTTTCAGTCTACTGCATCATCTAGCGTCGAGGTACATATTCGCCTAGTGTGGCGAGGAGGTCAGGCTCCTAAAACTTTAACTTTCTCTGAGCTTGTCGATAATATGCCTTTACGCATGCCAAAGCGTCATATTGCTGATACATCGGCAACTGAATTAGACACAGAAGTAGATTTACCAACTACTTCACATCCCGATCATGACTTGACATCCGGCAACCTAGCATTAACTAAAACGGATATTAAATTACGGATCCGTGAATTAAAACAACAGCTTGAAGGAGTGCGGCTTCAGGAAAGTTTATCTGCCGCCTCCAGTATGGTTTCAATACAGGTATTAGATTCTTAACCTTAGTGTTATCATTTTATTTTACATATATATATATATATATATATATATATATTATAGTAATTATTGTTATGCTCATTGGTTGGAACGTTTTATTATGGATAAATACTTGTTTCTTTGGAACTTTGTTCTCTGGTTATTGAGAAATAGTTATTTTATTTTTTGTACTCTCCTGTGTCTTACTGTAAAATAAAATATCTTAGATAGCTAATATTGCTACTTTGCATTTTTTAAAGAAGTTGTAGCCTAATATCGGGCACCCGATATTTGGAATCGACACTACCCGATATTAGGCAACCTTTTTTTAATTTAAGGAAATGACACCATTTACGAATTTTCTGAATAACAGCAACTGTGTTTACTTAATTTTAATTATCTCTTGTAAAACAAAACTAGGAACAATAAGCAATAAATATGTCAACCAATTAACTTTTGGGAATGAATAGAAAAGTTTTACTGAACATTTTTAAAAAGGTACCCGATAATAGGCGTCCTTCCTCTACCATGCTTAGTAAAACTCTATATAAAACAGTATATTCACAACAAAGAAACCCTATAAAATCTGCTGAACTTTGTGTCATAGGATTTGTAATGTAGCTTTTATGAACCTCTACATTTATATTAGAATTCGGGAAAGTTCAAATAAATTGTAACACTATCTCAGGTTTTGTTGACAATCGCTTCGTTACTTGATCAGTCCTCATTTGTTAGCACGGAAAATAAAATGTGGTAACACTTACACGATGACGATTCCATTATGGTTATTGTACTAAATGCCTATCTCAACTTCTACATATCAATTGACTTACATGAATTTTGTACCATGACGAATCGTTTCCAAAAGTTCATATGCGAGCTAAAAATATAAACACGAATTCACAGCACACATCTTATCTACACTTTTTCTTCCTTTCTTTCGCCAATTTTCGCCTCTTCAGGATCATCTCGTACAGCACCTCGAGACCTTCATGGAGACCATCTCCAGTGATGGCGCATGCAGGTTGCACGTGCCACTGGTGACCTCCATGGCCTAGCTCGGTCAAACCGAGGAGTTTCTCTAACTCCCTAGGTTCTCGCGCTCCAGGCAGGTCTTGTTTGTTAGCTAACACTAAAATAGGTACACTCGAGTTCTCGGGTGCTTTCACTGTCCGTATGAGCTCCATTTTGGCTTCTTCCATTCTTTCCACGTCTACGCTGTCTAACACGAAGACTATACCGTCAGTGCACCGGGTATACGACTTCCAGAGAGGGCGAAGCTTTTCTTGGCCGCCTACGTCCCAGACTAGGAAGTTGATGCCTGCAACAAAGAAACAAGTAAAGATGGGTGGTCTTGAGCGTGTAACAGGACCTTTCAAACTGTTGTAGTGACATATTGTATAGGAATGTGAAAATGAAGGGAAAAACAAAGTATCACCTGGAAGATAGATAAATAAAATATATTGTTAAAAAAGTGTCAATTGTACTTGAAGAAGATCACCGTTCGAACCGAAACATCGTACAATAAAGAGGGATTTTAAATATATGTGGTTTGATTCTACCAGACAAACATAGGGGATTAGAAGTCTAAATTGATCCTCGCATCAGTGGGCTACATTGAGATACATACTACTGGATATCACTGGGAATAGGGTTTTCGTACAAGTCAACTAAACTTTAAAACCATACTTCTACTTGCAAGTTGAAGTCTCACATCGCTATATGTTTCCAACTTATTTAGATCGCCACGGTTGGATTAGCTCCAACGCAAGCAATATTTATGATGTTTTTCACGCCCTGCATAATAATGGACAACTGTAACATTCTTTTTTTACTCCTTACCGGAGATATCACCATTATTGAACGCAATGCCCAATTAAAAAGTATAATAAAAAATAATGATCACAAAAGCACCTAGGTAAATGTCATCTTGCGCAAAAGCTATTTAGAATATTTTTTGTTATCTATAAGGTATATAGCTATAATATCCGAAAATAATGATAACTTTAAAATCGTGCACTGTCGGATAAGGAACTTATATGGTTTTTCTGATTGGACATGACCCCCTATCATCCCACTGCCATTACTATCGGGACGAACTGTATAGTGTCGTTAAACATTTATTTTATATATATATATATATATATAACGTGAGCAGTAGTCATTGTCAAAGCCAACGACCAGTGGGGCACAAAATACAATTAATTGTTAATTGGGAAATTGGCAAATTTTTAGGCTTAAGTTGACTCTTTTGACGATTAAATCAAGCTTTCGGCATTCTCTATGGAGCCTTCATCAGGATTCTGAAAACACAATTGTGATGCTAGCAAAGAAAACAGGACAGATTTAAATTGTCAAACAACTGGACAATGAGGTTTACAGTTTCACGGTCCGTCGCGTCAATCACTTGTCATCTGTCGACGCATTATCTTTCCGTGCCGTCCTCCTCTCCACGTGTAGCGGAAGTAGGAGGTTAGAGACTGCATTCCGATTTGTTCACTAAAATGTCTTCTCACGTGTAATAATTTTTAATTTGTTCGGGTGGATTGATATTTTTAACATGTAACGAAGGTATCTGTCGTTTTCAAGAAGCCCAATGTCCCCGTCCTTTTGTTTTTATACTGATTACAAGTTCTATCGTCTCTACGTTCGTTTTGAAACACCTTGTGGCTGCAACCTCAACGACGAGTAAGTTTATTGACAATTTAAATCTGTCCTGTTTTCTTTGCTAGCATCACAATTGTGTTTTCAGAATCCTGATGAAGGCTCCATAGAGAATGCCGAAATCTTGATTTTATCGTCAAAAGAGTCAACTTAAGCCTAAAAATTTGCCAATTTCCCAATTAACTATATATATATATATATATATATATATATACATATATAGATCTTCCTCTGTGAGCCCCGTAGGGCATTTTTTATGAGCTTGTCTCATTTTTTTAGTATTTCGGATGCATCCCAGAAATTGCCGTCTCATTCGGGAGCAGCCTGTCTTAGCTCCGACATTGTTCCGCTTAGATATCAACGACCTCTTTTCCTGTACGATAAAGCCGATCGACAGCTTTGCTGAAGACATTACTCTATATGCAGGAATTCAGTGACAAGCCGATCTCTCTCGCCAATAGCTGCAGCTGCTGGCAATTTAGGGCTGATAAGTACTTTTCTTCACATGATCTCACTCTGTACAAGGCCCAGATAAGACCTAGCCTCTCTCTAACCGATAGTTTCAGGCCATTTCGCATCGACAGGCCGTCTGTGATCTAGCTCTCTTCTACCGCTATCTCAACGGACTTGGCACCTCAGAGCTCTGCTTGATGAAGTCGCTGTGCGATTAGCCTGACAAACAGACCCGCCTGACTCCGGCCTCCGGCCAGTAGGACCGCTCCTTTGTCCCCGGGGTGACAAGATTGTGGAGGAGGCATTTCCCTCTTCTACTAATCTTGCGCAGTTCGAAAAATCGAGGTGTCTTTGAGCCCCTTTTATGGCAGCCGCAGTATTTATTTAGGCTACTGCCAACGCGGCCGCTTTGGTATATGAAAAAACGATCAATTTTTTTATTAACATGAAGATTAAACATGAATCCAATAAACTTCAACAAACCTTTTGCCTTTCCGACCATGCCTTTAACTTTCTCGCAGTTGAACCCGATAGTAGGAACCGTGTTGAGATACTGGTCGAATTTCAGTCTGTACAGTGCTGTCGTCTTGCCAGCGGAATCCAGACCCAGCATGACCACATGCAAGGTGCCTTGCCCAGATGGTAGCGCATCCAGAAGCGAGGCATTCTTGCCCATGCTGGCACCCATCGAGAATGGGTGTGCTTTGGTGTTCGCCGACAGTCTTTTGTTACATTTTGGTGTTGATGGTGTTGTTCACCCGTGGATGGTCCATTAACAGGATCGATGTCTTACGAGCAAATGGTGCTGGAACATTGTTGAATCTGAAACGAAAATAGAATCATATAAGATTGTATAGTCCATTATTAGCGTACGTCTAGACCATAATTTCTCAAACTTTTTCCGACTAGCGCCCCCTATGTATTAATGTATGTGAGTTTTGTTTTAACTATTTACAAAAACAAAAATTATCAATTCCTATCCGTATGTCCCCAGGAGGGCGCTATCGCCGATTTTGAGGAAGACTGGTTTAGACCTTGAACAGTTGGTTCATTTATGCGAAAACCCGATAGAAACACAAATAAAAAAAATTAACTCATTACCTATGTTAAAATTGAGACGTCAAATTATGAATTAGATATAGAAACAAAACTTTGATTATGTTGTCTTTGCTATGGAAGACTAACAGAGACAGCTGGACGAGAGACTCACTGCTGACAACTTTACCACGCATGTAAGTTGAGGCAGGTGGGTTGATATTCAACCGGTACTGAGGAGGATGGTGCTGGATAATGTGCAGGAGGCCAAAATAGCAACGAACAGTTGGTACCTACTTGCTCGGTTGTATATGTACATATTGTATATAGGTACGAATGTATGTACATATATGACAAATACCTTTGGTAGGAAAACCTAGCGCAACACTAGCCTCTATGAAGAAATGTTGCAAGCATTGCCGTGATGATGTGTAGCGAACAAGAGAGGGATTTTAGTGAGCATGACGCTTCTGGAGAATCTCACACTACGGGCCGGCAGGGCAATGCTATCGAACTTCTCTGCCTGAGAATGGCTGAAGTTTTCCCCTGTCCATAAAAAATGATTCCTGGTTAGGACACAACGATCGCAAAAACCTATGGGCCTGGAAACAAATGCTAGATTTATTTTGAAATGACCTTCAAATGCCCTCATAGTAGTTAATTCAAGCTCAGCGACTAGAAAAACCTAAATAACAACTGCTCGGCTTCTTTTGAGAGCACCCTTGATATGGTACACTGATTTCCAAATGTTCTAAAAGAGACAAATCAACCGCGGATTTGAAATCAGTGACCAAACCCTGCTGCAATGAATATTGTATAAATATCATAGACATTGTATAATTCGATAGCTTTTCGGTGTTCCGGCCGTAGTTCTTCTTTTGTACACCTTAAATTTTAGAAGCTCAAAGTTGTGATTCATGAATCTCCAACACAGTAGAACAGTCCACAATAGTAGTAGTGAGTTAATACAACGTAAAATTGCTTTCCTGCAAAGAATATAGATTAAACTTCATTTATTAAGTAGACCATCATTACATCACGAGAAAGCTTCAAAATGCCAGCTTGTTAGAGTTTTCTCAACACTTTGGCTTAATCTTCCATTGTTTCGGAGGTAAATTGTTTCATTTGAATTTATGATTTGTACTGTAATAATGACACTGTTAGACACTGTATAGAAATATTTAACTAATGTTATGTAACCTAAGCTGAAAAAAGTATACATTAGTTCCAACCCATTGTTACCACTGGATATGATACAATTATATAACATATTTCATTAGGATAGGATCAATGTACTTGTTCCTTTTTTCGTCGTTGAATTGTGAATGAAACGCTGTGCTGATTCTTCTGGACCTCAATATAAGTCCTTTTTAACTCGCTTATATTAGCTTGGCCTGTATGTATGTAGGCAGGGTGTTTATTGTTGCATAACTTTAAGATTCGATAGAACTTTTAAAATTAATGCATAAAGGCTATATAAACATGGGTCGAAAAATGCGTGGCTTCCGAAATGCAGTGTGTTTAAATTTACTTTCTAAAATAGTTTTTTTTAATATTTCGAACAATATTTGATGAATAACAGTGAAAATTGGTATACAAGGGTTTTTTGGTACGACAAAAGAACATAGTTTTACTGTAGCCGCTAGAGGGCGCTCGCTACTGTACCTGTAGTGTATTAAAATGACCGAAAAATGTTTCTTAGTGCAATTTTTTGCTTTTTGAATAAAAAAACTGATACTTCGCACTTTTCAACATAAAAAAGCTCTCTTGTGAATTTTCGTTGTAGTTAGCCGTTTTTGAGATATTTTGATTTTTAAGGTTCGATGCATTTTTAATTATTTATGATAAAATAACGTTAAAAGGTCAGTATCTCGATAATTTTTAGAAGTAGGCTGTGCCTGCAAATATTTTTGAAATTGAAAGCAGAATAAGGTTAAACGTCAATTAGTTGACAGTTGGTTTTGTTGTCTGTTGAAACCTGAAACGTTTTTTGCAATTGTGAATGCACGAAATTTAGTTTCTTTTACCTGTTTTTTTTTTGTAAGTTTTATAAAAATGCCATTTTTATTCTCCAATCAAGAGTTAGCGGATATTCATTTTGTGTATGGCTTTGTAAATGGAAACGCAGCAGAAGCAGCCAGAGAATACGCACGAAGATTTCCAAACAGACGACATCCAACTCGCTGAGTATTTGTAAAAGTGCATCGCCAAATAATTGAAAATGGTTTTGGAAATCTCCAAAGGGATCAAAACATAAATGTTCGTCAGCGCAGATTTACCCGTATGATTCTGCGTGAGTTTGATAGAGATCCGACCACAAGTGTTAGGAGAGTTTCTGGTGCCTTGAGAATTTCAGCAAGCCATGTTCACCGTGTTTTTAGAAATGACCATAGACGTCCTTACCATTTGCAACCTGTGCAAGGACTACAGCCAGGGGACGAAGAACGAAGAATCACATTTTGTCAGTGGATTCTTGATAGAACTGATAATAATAGGGAGTTTTTAAGTAACGTTTTATGGACCGATGAGTCATGCTTCACTAGACGTGGAGTAGTAAATTTTCATAATCAACATATTTGGTCGCATGAAAATCCGCATGCAGTTCGGGAAAGAAATTTTCAGCATAAATTTAGTGTGAACGTGTGGATTGGTATCTACCGTAATCGACTATTTGGACCCTACCTGTTGCCTGCAAGGTTAAATGCAAAAAAAATATTATTTTCCCATAAATAATTAAAAATGCATCGAACCTTAAAAATCGAAATATCTCAAAAACGGCTAAGTATAACGAAAACTCACAGGAAACTTTTTTATGTTGAAAAGTGCGAATAATCATTTTTTTTTATTCAAAAATCAAAAAATTGCACTAAGAAAATTTTTTCGGACATTTTAATACACTACAGGTACAGTAGAGAGCGCTCTCTAACGGCTACAGTAAAACTATGCCCATGGTTCGTTTTGTCGTACCAAAAAACCCTTGTATACCAATTTTCACTGTTATACATAAAATATTGTTCGAAATATTTAAAAAAAAACTATTTTAGAAAGTAAATTTAAACACCCTGTATTTCGGAAGCCACGCATTTTTCTACCCATGCTTATATAGACTTTATACATTAATTTTAAAAGTTCTATCGAATCTTAAAGTTATGCAACAATAAACTGAAACACCCTGTATATATAAGGGAATGTTTGAGCATAATTTTCATCAATTTCCACAAGTTTGATTAATCTGAAACTTCGCGCACGTATCAAGGACCGATCACAATACAATATCATGAAATGTACACAAAAAAATAATTAATAAATCGAACTAAAAAATGAAAAATAAATAATAGTTAAAGAACTAAAAAAACACGCTTTTATAGCTAACCGAATTAAAAAGTAAAGTAACATATGTCAAGCACTTAACTTAATTTAACTTTATTTTGAGGTTATTAATTACGATTGATTGTTCGACCATCTACTACTAATATAAACTCTTTGTAATTAAACATTAATTTCTACTTTTTAGTTTGGTTAGCTATAAAAGCGTGATTTTTTTAGTTTTTTTTAAACTATTATTTATTTATATAATTAGGAATTACATTTAATCGCATTCATATTATTGTCAGTATTTTTGTTGAGATTGTATTCAAAATTGTGTCAAAAATATAACTGTAATGTTTCTGTTGCAGGGTTTTTGTAGGCAGTAGTAGTTAGCACACTTTACCAGTTACATCAAGTAATTGAGATGCTAAAAATGGCGTCAAATAAGTCGACTTCCCACGCAACGATGTCATCAGTTCATAACGGATTATGTTTGGTACAGGTTAGCGCTTCCAAGAAAAAAAGTAGCTACAAACATGTTAACAAAAACTTAAATGGATCAAGTCCGTCAAGCAGGTTCATGCAATTAAAATTTGCACTTTTAGCTTGCTTTTCAGTACAATTTTCCTTCGAGATTCCCGATATACTAACGTCAAAAGATTGAGGTATGCTCTTCTTCACCCTATACAATCTCCAACCTCCGACTTTTAACCCTACACATTTTTTTCTGAAAATGATTAGGAGCCTCTGAAAAGTCAAAAAACGGAGTTTGAGCGATTTGTTTCGTGTTTAAACCTTTGCTCCGCCACCAATGGATCGATTTTGAAAAACTGCAAAGCTTTTTCGTCCTTGGTATAGTAGAAAGTTTGTGTGAAAATTTCATCAGAATCTGAGCAGATTTTTCCATGTCATAGACGAGTTAAAGATTAGCGGACAGACCGACAAACCGACGTTATGTAGATGTCACACAACATCCAAAAAACATAATATCTCATTTTCGTAAACAAAGACGTTTTATATACCTACCGTCACTGTACGTATCTGAAATCAACTCCGAAGTCGTTATTCTCTTTGTTAAGCAGCGCTTTTGCAAACCCTTATTTTTTGAGTGGATCATATGAGCAAACTTGATCGGGGTCATGAAATGGTTGCATAGATACTTTCAACGTAGACATGACAATTTCAAGAAGTCGGCTGGCCGCTATCTCTGAACATTTTTATTTTTTAAATAAAATGAAGGGTCATGTGATAACTCATTTTGAATGCTTTATAGCCCCAGATCAGAATATAAAAATATCTTGACTGATTTTGACATTTTTTTGAACGGAATGTTCCATGTTTCACTACATATTGCGATAAGTCCTTGCAAGAGAAGAAGACTGATATGACATTACTATAGTGTTTTGATTTATTGGTTGTTTAGTTATAAGCGAGTCAATGTAGATAGGTAAACGCCCAGATTTGACAGCCTGCCAATCCGTCATTTTGAAGAATAATGTTCTTTTATTCTCAGTCGAAAAGTACTTGTGAGAAACCTCAATAAAGCGTATCGCATGACCCCCATTCTATTTGGAAAAATGTTTCAAGATGACACCCATCCGCCA